CTGTGCCTTTCTTTTTACCTTTGGTTATAGAAAAGACTTTGAAGAAAATAATTTATATAGATAGAAAGGAACTGCCAGGCATGTATTGTGCGGGATACAGAATAATTATTTTCATGTTACTCATTGAATTTATGTGAATAATAGGTATCAAATAAGCATAATGTGTGAGTCTGCAGAAAATGTTTCAGCTGAAGTAGTATGGCTCTAGACATGTCACAGTGTTTTAGCAAAAACTGAAATTAGAAAAAAAAAAAGAAAGAAAAAGGGCCAGTCCCTCTGAAATCCAGAGTAGAAGGGTTAACTGGTAGAAGTGAGCGTTGGGGTAACAGATACACACATCAGAATTACTGCATCCATGTGAGCCATAGGGAGGAGCTGCACTCTTCATGATCCCAGGAGCAGGTAAACCTGCTTTGATCAAGTTTTGAACTAAAACTTGTTGTGACTGTTCCTGTTCAATAGTGTGTAGATTTTGAACAAGTTTTCCCAAGTGGCTGCTTATTGCCATAAGGTGGAAAGTAACTTGTCATTCTCTAGAATTTTTGCATTATTACAGTCTTGCAGGTAGTCTTCAATTTACTGTCACCCAGTAACGAATTTTTTTAACAAACTTTGTAACATGGTCTCCCACTATTTGGAGAGACTGTATTCACCAGGCACATAGTTCCAGCATTTATTATTCTTTTTCCTCCCAGGAAACAAAATTATTGTACCGAAATCACCACAAAACTGTGGAGAAAACACCACATACTTTCCTTGCAGGGTGGTGAAAGCTGATGTGGTGATGCTGGCTGCAGTGTCTTACCAGAAGAGATCAGAAACAGACTGAAACTTTCAGTTTTACTCAGTAATGTTAGTAAAGTCACTACTGATACAATGGGACAGGAAACTTCTTTTCATGTCCAATGCAAATACTAGGGATTTCAAATTAAATTTGTCAATTTCTTAGAGGGTTGAACATTTAAATTTTTTGTTAAAAGTTGTTTTTAACTAGTTCAGGTCAATTGACTCTTATGTAATTTAAAACCACATTATTTAAACCAATTTTAAAATGATAATTGGTTTTATTTTTGAAATAAAAATTGTTTAAACTAGAAGATATTCTTTGAAATAGAGAAAACCAGTCTAAAAAATCAAAATTGTTGGAAGCAGAAATATTAAAAGTTCAATTCAATATTGACAAATGGGTTTCAACAAACAAAAAGTTCACTTAAAAACTGCCCGCCCATTTTGTTATGGATAGACACACAGCTCTGGTAGGTCTTTCCCAGTGCAGTAGACTATAGGATGATGTCTCAACATCATTTGTTGCCTCAAAAGAAGTAATAAGCTATCAGATTTGCAGTAACTAGGTTCTGCAGCACTGTTCTACTGTAATTTAAGGTTTTAAAGCAAACTGCAGAGTTGAGCAATGATATATGTGTGTGTATACATACATATATAGCAAATTTTATTGGACAGATGCTTTCACCTGTACATACAGGTTTACAGATGCTTTCATCTTATATGTACACAAGCTTATCTGTAAAGAGCATCACAGTTCAGAGTTGATGTAATCTCCAGTTGTTGCTGGCAAAATAGGTAAGGTTGTACACAGCCTTGAAGATGACTTCAAGATAATTTAGGATGACAACTACCTATCTTGAAAAAGTGATTTTTCTGATCTATGACATTTCTCTTAAAATTTTTTTTTAAAAGGTGGATCTTGGTAATTCCTTTGGAATAGATAGAAGTCAATAGACAGGCTCCATACAAATGCTTTTTTCCCTAAATAGTGTAAGGAATTGTTTTCTGCAAAAGATTTTGCCACTTGGTTAAGCAACAGATGCTCATTTCTGCACCTAGGAGCCTGTGCTGCGCGCTCTGCCTTACCATCTCCTTCTCCAGCGTTCGGCAGGATGCCTCCCAGGGCTCTGGCTGGCTCTGCTCCCAAACGCTGATGCAGCCAGACACCCCCCAAATCCAGTGTCACCTTTATAGACCTCTGAATTCCGATGTAAGCCATCGGGCTTTAGCTGGTCCCTGAATGCTTTTCAGATCTCTTGAACTGTCTGGTTACTTAAGACATGCAGCTTTACTCCAAGATTTGCAGTAGTCCCCATTCTATTTAGAGAAGTGAATATGTCAGTTAAAGAAGTAAGTTATTTAAATAGCTAATGCATTCGAGAAATGCAGTCACTCTTGAAACAGTAAAAAAGGCAAAAAGAGAATTTGCCAGAAAGTGTGCAATTTTTAATATGAAATCTGTAATTATCTTACCAGTATTTGCTTAAAGGTAGAGTTGGCACAGTATTAAAATGTTGCACAGTTTGAAGAGCAGCAGAATCCCATAGCTGCTTGTATTGCAGGCTGTATACAAAAGGAGACTATAAAACATATTCATGCCATACTAAAATGCTTGGAAACCTACTGCAACAGCATAGGTGGAAATGTTTAAACAAGATGTTACATTAAGATGTTATTAAATAGAAAAAAAAGGAACAGTGCAACCACCTCTTGATGTGTAAGTAATCAAATCTTTACCTTTCCTGCTAGAAATGCTAAAATTTAGTACATTTTTTAAAATTAAAAATGTTAAATACATGCCAGTCTCAGTGCCACACCAAAATATAGATTATAAAACAAGAGAGTTTAGTAAAACTTCAAATATTTTTAAGGAATTATCCACTTCCTCTGTTAAAGTGAAATCTGAAATACAACACAGACATATGCATGAGATAGGAAAATATTTCTTCATGCAAATAGTATAGTCATCTTAATTCATAATTTAAGAATTCCTGTTAAGAGGAGGAGGAGGCGACAGTATACATTGGGGGATATCCTGTATAACTGTATGCTCAGCTTTATTTCAGTCTGTGATTGAAATATATGAAATGCTGATTTTTATATAGGTAGTTGCAGTTTGAAATTGATATACTGTGTACAATAGTATGAGGACATACTAATTAGTAATTCCATATCCATTTTGAGTAAAGAGCAGAAAACATGTTCCTGAGCTTGACTGCGCTATCACTAGTGTTAGTAAAATTACAGAGAGAGATAATATGGAAGTATAACTCATAAATCCCACTGTGCAGAAGAGGGCTAAGATACTCATTTATTTCTTCCCTCAAATCAATTAATTCTTAGTACCAAGACAGTAATTGTTAAAATAGCCATTGTAAGTCTAAAATTAGAGTAATTGCAGAGGTTTGATGTAAAGCTAAGAAACAAGATGTTTATCTGAAACGAAGAGTTTAAATACGGAATTATGATATACTTGGCTTTCTGTAGTGTAGCTGTCAGGCTCGGGCAGTTTGCTGGTCAATAGTGACATTCTGTGTGTCAGTGAACAGTCTCCTGATACCTTAACCTGCAGTTCACACATTACTGAAGCTCCAACTGTCGAACATTCAGGTCCCTTGGTACTACTGCAGCTTCCAGACTCTCCTGACTGGCTCATGTTTCATTCTTTGGCAATTTGCCCTAATGATATCCCTCAGGAGCTTTCAGACCCTCTTCTTTTCCATATTTAATCGTGTTATATTAATCTGAGTGCTGAGCAAACTATGCTGCACAAATTGTAATTGTCCGTGATTTCTGCTGCAATGGTCTTATAATTACTTTTTTTCATTTTTAGTGTAAGAATATGTGTACAAAATTGCAGTATAATTTTTATTTACAAGTATAAATGTCCAAGACAACCAGCGTGTGAAAGCTTTAAGTGCTGATCTGTTCCACAAAGGTGGTTTTTTTTTTTTCCCTGTAAAATCCATAATGTTTTAGCACTTGCTGTATGGACAGGATTTACAGTTTATTTTTAGCTCTTTGTTTTGTTACTGTAAAAGTACATGTCTAATAAATAGTGCTATTATCAAGTTAACCTCAGATAGTAATTTTGTTGTGATATAAAACATTAGGACAGTCTTGTCTTTTTCCATAAGCTTGGCGTTTCCTATGTGGGGCGTTCCCTTTTTTAAAATCTTTTTTCTTTTCTTTTTTTTTTTAATGAGGTTTGTAGTGTTTTATGTGCTAAATATAGGCTACCTTATTTTGAACACAATCTTGATGTTTTCTCATTCTATTGTAACTCTCTGGCTGCATAATAAAATAAACAAACTTGAGTGACTCCCTGATAGTAAAGTGGTATTTGATAGATCAAATTTGAATTCTTTAGGTGTTGCAGATTTTTATGTTCTCTTGAGGGGTGAACTTGACCATGTTTCTAATCAATTCCATAGATTGGGGGTGGGGGGTGAGGATTTTTTTTTTTTCAGTAATGTTTTTTTTTTTGTTTTGTTTCCTTGTTTGTTTTAGAAAAACAAGAATGTCCATTTTAAATAACAAGCAGATCATAACACGTCCTTTCTTAGTCAAGGAGTCCTTCATTTTCTGGTGATGTTAGTGCCAGACTTGCCAGTCTCTGCTTTGGGAAGGGAGTTTTGGAAAATTGTAATAAAGTTGTTTTGCTATCACAGGAAATATTCACTTCAGTTTTTTTAAAGGTATTTTGGAAGTCAAGATAGTGACACAAACAGGAATTAATCTTGCTCCTGAGTTTAGTGCTGTTCTGCGGCTTTATGCAGGTTCGGATCAATTCCAGTTGTTCGAAATAGCCGAAATGTGGAGCAAAACACTCCCCTGAGTCTTTCCCGCTCAGCAGAGCTGAGTGCAGCTGGAGTGCGCTCGAGTCCTGTGTGTTCATGGCAGTACCTGCGTTTGACCATGATAAACATCAAGTAGTGCGTGTTTATTTTCCTGTTTTCAAGGGAATAGCTGAGCAGGACTAACTTTTCGTTGACTTGTTAGCCTGACTTCTTGCAAATGTGGTACCCTGCATACATATATCAGAGTTCTTCATGGATGCGTTTATGCGATTGAAAGTAATTAGAAGAATGCTGTAATAGATGGTTTGGGGAGGTTAAGATTCTTGCATGTCTAAAAGTTAATTTAATGGTTTTGTATTTTCTTTTTATTCATATTTTTTGTTGCCAATTCTGTGTGTGTGTTTTTATTTTTAGTTAACTGCTTGTGTTCATGCGTCAGCTGCATTGTTATATCCAATGTATTGGCAGCACATTTACATCCCAGTGCTTCCTCCACATCTTCTGGACTACTGCTGGTAAGACAGCTAACCTGTTATCCCCATTTCTGAGATTCTTACCTGTCTTGTAATTCCAAGTAACTGATGAAAACACTAACTGCTTATGTGACAAAATACACAGGATCCAGTTTATGAAAGCACTTAAGCTAATGCTTAAGTGATGACTTGAATAGAGATATTTCAGCATGCCTTTACATGGTTTTCAAGTTGGTACCTTGAATTACAGTGCTGATTACTATCAGTGCAGCATTTAGAATCATGTTTATAATAACTGTTCCCGTTTTATTGTTAGAGAATGCATTCAGTATTTTTAATGCAACATTGTTACTCTTTTCTTGGTGTTTATTTTAACTTGAGATAAATGATACTGATGGAATCATTCAGAAAAAAACTGATCAGTTTTTCTGGAATCAAATGTCTGTTAGGCATCAATGTTTCCCTTAGGTCTATACAATTATTTAATTTTTGCATTTTAGACTCAGGGTCCTATCCAACACCTTCCCCAAAGAGCTTAAAATCTCCTTTTGGTACTTCCAAAATTTTCATTATAAGAATTCTGCTTCTCCTGACGTGTTTCTATTCACCTGACAGACTTAGTGGTTTGGGCAAATTTTTAAGTTGAACAAGAATCACTTTTTAAGTCACTTCTGACCCTTCAAGGGATGATATTTCCACATGCCTGTGTTATAGGATCTCAGGCTAAGAAGAGATCTACTTTCTTTTATTCATTGTAGTGCCAGAGATAGCAAATGAGATTTTCCATTAAAGCGCCTAAATCAGGAGTATCCATCCCTGGAGACTTGCACACTGACTAGACCCTATGGATCTGTGGTGGAAAAATGAACCATTTAAAGCCATTTTAGAGATCAGGAATTATTACTATATGTAAAAACTGAGTCGAAGTCACATGCCAACCGACATAAATCTATGTTTCTGTTATTAATGTTTTTCTTCACAGAAATAAATTATGCTTGTGTGTTTGCTGACCTTTATGTTTTGGTTTTTTTTTTTTTGGAACCTATAAATACTGATGTTCCATTGAACTCCACCCAGTCTATTGAACTTCTTGTTTTCAAAGAAATTCTCATTATGTTTCCTTAAGCCTCTTTGGTAGTTTTTTCTCAAGTTGACAATATTTGCCCATGGTGTATCTTTTTCTGTGGTAGTTCCTGTACTTCATATATATATTGTTTATTGTTTTAAAAAAGAAATCAAATAATCTACTCCTGCACCTCCCTTTACTTTCAACTATAGCTAAGCCTTTCATCTTTAATGATAGTTTTCTTTTGAAGAAACTCTGTCCTAATTGTTTTTCCTCCTAGCTTTGATAAAATGCACCAAGATGGGGGTAGAGCTTGGATGTATTTGTTTAATTTTTGTATTATTTGAGCTTACCACCAGAAGCTTTGTAATTTCTTCAGTATTGTCCATAAATGCTGTTCTCAGAAGGTAGATCAACACCTTTATTCAAGCTGTACCCTGCAGAGTGCATCCTGAATACTAGAAGATTTTTTTTTTTTTCCCCTCCTAAGCACAGATAATGTTTCCAGAAATAATGTTAGATGCTGTACACAGCTTCTTGTGATGATGATAATAGTTGAGATTCTAGGTCATTATGGCTTGACCTAAGAAATTTTTTAACTCATTAAAAAGAAGCATGGAGTTTCTTAAACTTGTAAAACTCATTTATATCCCTTTTTCTTTTTCACAGTAGTACAATAGAGTGGGAAAGAAAAAAGTTCCCCTTTTTTAGAGATGTTCAAATGGAAACATGAAGTTCATGAAAGGAAATGCACAACTGATGAATTTACCACAGTAACTATAATTGAGACCTTTTAACTCGGATTTTTGTGCATCTATATTTCTCTGTCTGATCATGTCTAGTTTGAATGGTTCTTTTGTGAGATAGGTTGGGATAGTGTAATAAAAACACATAATACTTAGTTTTCCTCATGCCTTGGCGTATTAATAGTAAATAAGTGGTTTGCTCATAGGTATATAATATACCAAGTTAGAAAACCTTGATAGATTCATAAGCTCAAATTTTATACTAGGCCAGACCTAGTGTGCAGTCCAAGAGGATCATGTCAATTTAAAATTAATAAAATATTTTTCTAATTTTTTTTTATATTTTCCTTTTGATAGAGCAAAGTTCTTTTTACAAAAAAGTGCCTTTTTTCCTTTTGGCTTAATATGCATTTTCCTGCTAGAAACTACATTGTCATTGCTTCATTTGGACTTTGTTGGGATGTCTCCCGTGAACTCTCATTTTCTTAGTGTTATTCTGAAATGACATTCAAATAAACGAAGTAGGAGATTAGCAGTTTGATAAATTTGTTCATTCCAAGGGAGTAAGACCATGTTTAAACAAGGATAAAATACATTTAAATCTACTAGTTTAAATATTGGCCCTGATCCTGCAACTTCATTTTGCATGTTAATCATCCAACATATTTCAAGAGAAATCCACAGGTTTTTTTTTTATGAGCTGGACTATATTTTCATAAACAATATAATTCTGTGGGGATTAGAATGTGATAAATTATGTAAACTGCCTAGCTGGTACATTTTGTGAGCATGAAAAAAGAAAAATGTATCTTTGAGTAAAACAAATCTATATTAAAAAGTTATTTAAATTCTTCCACTTACCTTTTTAATCAGAAAGCCTCTTAGGTTGTATCAGGCAACCTGATATACAGACTGGTTTTAAACATAGTGTAAATGATGTTCTTTAAGTAGTCCAAACCCACCAGTACATAGCATCAGTGTGGACTGTAATGCTGTCAGGATTGGCGGGGTTATGAATACTTGCAAGGTCCAGTGTGTGAACACAATGTGTGTTTCTTTACTTCAAAATGGTGTCGTCCCCCGCCCCCTGTAGTTTATCTCGGCCTTGAATTCTGTTATGAGAGCTCCAGTGTGAGAAATGGAACAACCATCCAAAAAAGAAGAGATAATAAATTTCTTCTTCTAAAAGATAGCAAAATATTAGGCTGTGAAAGTAATTTTCATTTTAGCTTTAGAGGAAGAACACACAGCGGAGTTACTAAAAAATAGAGTTTTCTGAATATTTTTAAAGAATTTATTTCTCTTCTACATTTAAGTAAGCAAAAAGCTACTGTTGCACTCAGCCCAGTAGGTGGCTGGCTTTCAAGAAACCTTTCACAAAAATTAAGTTTGAGCATTGATACAGTAATTATATTTGAATAAAATTATTTTTTGTAAAGGATAGAGCTAATTACATCAAATTTCCTTGTAATTTCTTGGCAAACTAAGTCACTGATATAAGAATGTATGACAGTTTTGTCTATGGATGATAAAGCATCTGTTATACTGATACTCTGTTAAGAATATAATGCAATTAGAAAATTCAAGTTACAATTGCAACATGTCTTTTTATGAGATTTGGTCTCTTCTGAATTGGGATATACACATGCCTGTTTTCGTGAGAATGGGACAATTATTTTCCAATTAACTTGCATGTTTTGCATAACATAGTAATTATTTTGGGCAATGATGCTGTAGATTAATAACATTTTTGATAATAACATGCATAAGCAAGAGGAAAAACTATATAGCAGCTCCCAGTAGTATCATAGTAAGCAATTTCATGTACATATTACAAACCTCTGCTGTTAAGGCTTCAGAATCCAGTGGTAATAAAATTTGTTCTTTGTTGAAAATGATCAAATTAGCTTTCCATACCTGCAATTTTTGTATCATGCATTTTCAAGATGTGTTTGTCTAATTAGCTTTGTACTTTTATTCTGTTAACTTCTCAAAATTGAAATGATGTAGCTGTTGCTTTGCTCTATAGAAAAGAGCTACATGCTACCCTTTTTAATGACAGATTTATTAATGGAGCAAATCATCGGCTACTTTAAGTTGGTACAGGCCTGGTGAAGCTGCTAGAACAGTGTCGGTGTACAAGAAAACAAGTGTGCTTAAAATGTGTATGTGATATATAGCACTTGTTTTCATCGTAGTTTCTCGAGTTCACGTTATTTGTAACGCTAAGAGACTCTGATGTGATGAACCTGAGGATCTATTTTGCGGCATGTTCAGCAGAAGAATTCTCAGTTACATGTCAGTCATAAGTCATTCTCACTAGCTTGGTTAAATATGTTATGTAGTATTAAACATTCTTAAAATTATAGAGTGTTTTAAAGCTGTCCAATTGCTCTCTGAATATAAATGTGTGTCTGCTCTGGAGTCGCACCCATTTACAATTCCATGTAGTTTGTGTTTAGTCCACAAAGGTATAAGGCCTCAGCGTGGATGAAGTCCTCAGGAGGTACTAAAATTTTTCAGTATTGGGCTAAGAAAAAGCCATGTGGGGACACAGGGGTCTCCATTTCTCTTTTTGGAAGCCCCGTTGCATAGAAACATTAAGCCATGACAGTTTGCAGTCTCAGCAAACCTTTATTTTGATAGTATAAACATGATGAAATCTTGTTTTGGCCTCAGTCAGTCTGGGTTGTGGATTTTTTTTTTTTTTTGTTTGGGTTGGTTGTTTTGTTTGGTTTTTGGTTTTTTGGGAGTGTTTGGTTTGGTTTTGTTTTAATCGATCCTCTCCTGTGGGGCATTGTTAATGAGAGCAATTGGCTAATCAATAGTGTGTACAGATTTTTCTAAAACTGGCTGCAGTCGCAGGCAGGTGAGAATTGCTACTTTTGCTCCCAGAGTTGGGACCAAATTGATGAGGCCACGTGAACTGATGCAGTGAAGCCTCTCCCTGGGCCTCAGGAAGTCAGTCGCCAATCAGTCGGTGCCAGTGGCTCAGATTTATGATTGAGTTAATACAATGGGAGAAATTATTGTATGTCGGCTATCTGTGTAACTTCATAGAAGTCATCTTACCTTCCAGTTATTTTTCAGAGATTATTTTTATATAGTGTTTTTTCTCTCTGGTCCCTTAGTATTTCATTTCCCACTGAGTTGCTTAAACCAGGCTATCTGTTGCTTGCTTCTCTGGAGTGAATATTTTTAGTAATCTCGCAGTACCCAAAAGTGTGATGATGATTGTTGGATGTTTTTTCCCTTCAGCGCTGGATGCTGAGTATATTCTTGGTCAGATGTTGCCAGAACACATTCACTAGAGGAAGAAACAGAATATTATAGGAAACCGTGATAAATTAGCCCAGTTTAGTTTTTTGCTTGTGTGCTGCAGGAGGTCTCACTCCAGAGGCTTTGTGTGGATATTTGTTTTATTTTGAGAATATAGTTCCTCATCTTACTCAGGTTGGAAATGAGAAGTTTACTATCTTGAATTAGACAGGATATTATACAGCTTCCAAACGCCCACCAACGAGGAGTTTCAGAAGCACATTCAGAACCAAAACTGGCATTAATGATGTTAGCGGTGCAATGTGGTGATGTTAACTGGTACCATATTCTTCAGAATGGTGTTTTAAAAGCATTGTAGTTCTAGAGACAGACCACTTTTGGAACATCCACTGGGTTAGCTCTGCCATACAGTATGGTTGGTTATCGAAAGTGGGTATGGCAAGCTGGTTAGCAAGCCATACACATCTTCTCACTACTACTTCCATAGCTAGGAACAGCATCCTTTATTTTGTGGCCATCTTTACTGCAGAGTAAAAAAACCAAACAAACCAAAAATTACCCTTGTCTAGTAAAAAATTCAGTAGCAACAGTGGCAACAGTTCATTTAATATAGGGTTAAACAGTGAATGTTAACTAGGGACTGTATGTGCCAAGATTTTAAATATTTTCTGCTCCACAAACGCTGTAGTAGTTGGTACTTAAATCTTGATCTTTTCCACTTTTTTTCTTCAGTGCACCGATGCCTTATCTAATTGGCGTCCACTTAAGCTTAATAGAGGTGAGTTTACTATACGCTGCTGCGTACTGGTAAGCGTGAGGGGTGTGTGTCATTAATGAAATTTTTAATGGAAATGCTTCAGAAAGAATCCCTGTTTTTTAGCATACAGAACTACAAAATTTAAGCTTCAGGTGGTTTACAAAGTAAAAAATGTCTCTCTTTGAAGTCTTACTTTTGAAGTGTTTTATGGAGACGTGTAAGTTCTGCATCATCATTTGTTTCTGTGTCTATTTAATAGATCAATGATAGCTTTTTTTCCTGCCTTTTTTAGTGCTTTAGCAACAGATTTTCCCAGTAATAAGAACAATTAAAATTTAATTTGGAGTTGCCATCAATCAGAATTCAGCATCATTCTGAATTCCCAGATAATTTACATTCCTGTCCCTCTGAAAAATCTGTCTAACATTCATTCCATAACATTCATAACTATTAATTTAGAAATCAGTATTTTTTTTGCCAAAAAACAACAGGTAGCCTTTTCAGATTTGAACATACAACAAAACAGTAGAACTCACCTGAGCAGTAAGTAATAGCTGGGCCATAAATAGCTTTGCCTCTTTCCGTAACCATTTGATGACACCATTAAACCTATGCGTGTAGTCTGATTATCATTCAGAGCAGATAATTGATTTGGGAACTTTATTTCATTTACACCTCTGCTAAAGCAGTTTCTAAGGATCAATTACCATTTGCTAAGCTGATAAGGTGGGTTCTCCCCCCGGTCTGAGCCACTAGCACTTCTGTGTTTCCAAAAAAGAGCCTTCTATCCTGTATGTTTCTTAACTTACTCTCTCAAATCAGGTTAGTATGACCTGCCTACATTGGTCATAATATCTTGACTAGGATCTTTTTCCTTATTCTATCAGAAAATGATGGAACAGAAAGGCTTGTTCTGAAAAAGAAGTCACTCAGTTCCTTCTGCAATTATTTCCTGGACCAGAGTAGGACCATATAGAAAAGAGTTCTATCATTTTTTCCTGAAAGGAACAAATTGTTTAATTCTTAGCTGTTAGTCAAGGCCATTAATGAGAGATTGTTTTATCCATTCTTCTGTTACACTAGTAGACATCAAATGCCTGGGACTTACATAAATCTACAAATAATTACTTAGTTTTCTCTGGGTTTCATCTGATTATGTGATAAACATCCTATCTGATTTTCACAAATATGAGAGAATGGAATGTTGTTATAAGATATGTATAGTTCCAATATATTTAACTGTAAATTTTGATCTTCAAGAATTCATTTCTTGAGTATGCTTGTATTTCAGAGATTATTAATATAACCTTAATGTTTGATGAAGAAATGTGTTTTTAAAAGCTACTCTGAATCCTGCTTCTAATTCACAAATCCTACATCTAAAGCTCAAAATGTTGTCTTTGCCATTATTGTCCTTTGTAAAATCATTGTTTGTAATCTAGCACATTACAATAAAAATGTACTTCAGGAGGATGCCATAGTAAAATGCTTTTCCACTATTTTTTTTCCCTCTTAACAGAGAGTGAAAAATAGATCACTGGAGGATGTGGTTTTGCTCAATGTGGACACAAACACTCTAGAAACCCCTTTTAATGACCTGAACAACTTACCTGGTGAAGTGGTGAGACTTGCAGATATTTCGTTCTTTCTTTCTTATGTGGATACTTGAATTACTAGTAGTTATTTTTGCCTGGTTTTGCTAACTGCTATAAAAGGAATAAGGGGGTGAAAAGCACCAAGTGTAGACCCCTATATTTGAGATTTTTACCTTTTTGACAGTTGAGGAGATGCTGAATGGAACATCGTATTCCTTGTTGTAAAAGTAGGATCATAATTATAAAGCTAGCTGCATTCATTAGGCATAGCTGCTTTAAACGCAAGGGTCTCTTCATCTCATCTTAATCATTATATTACAAAGTAGGCATTTCTGTCTGCCTAGTGGCATGTCTTGCAAAAGAATGAGAGAGTTTTTGAAGGCAAAAAGAAGAAGGGGGCCAATTATCGGCTTCTGCTTCCCTGCCACCTGCCAGCGCTTTCCTTTTAATTAATGATCTGATGGCACTGGTCAATATAATAAGAAATACTTGTACAGTTGGGGTCAGAAAATTCAGGCTTTGATCTTCTTCAACTTTCTGAAACATTTATTTGTTTTCTCTAAATTATTTCAGTTTTATTTTAATCTCCTCTATCCTGCTGAGGGCTACGTGAATGAAAACCCGTACTGTTTGTCATTTGCTTTGGCAGAGCAAAGACTGCTTACTTAGAATTCTATTTGTAAATTAAACTGCAAACCAGTTTGTCATAAAAGACATCTGATCCTTTTGAAATGACGAAAACTGTCTTTTGTCTGTAAAGGATGATAAATTAAGTGCCAGTTCTTTCTGGACTTTGATCTTGCAGACGGTGTCCCCCCCTCGTTTTTTTTTTTTTCCTTATTGCCTATAGGGGAACATACTCTGTATATCATTTTAAATAGTCACAAAATTCACTTACCTTGTTTTTCCCAATAGAGCTCTGAAAGAATATCATTGTGGAGCCACTGTTTTGATTATTTAGTTATAGATGCTCAAGCTATCACAAATGGTTGTCAAGGCAGAGAATTTTGTATCAAAATGTGAAATCAGAGAGTGTTACATTTTCTGAAATTGTAAGTCATAAAAGCAAACTATCTTACTCAAAGTAAGATGCTGTAGTGACATACTATGTCTTTTTGTTGGTAATTTATATATATTTGGTACAATAGAAATCAAACTCTTAATGATTATATTAATGTCAGTTCCCTTTTGATTTTAATGATGTTAAAATCTAGACTTTTTATAGACCAGCTGGTCAGTCTGTCTTTTGACTCAGTATCAACTATAGTTCAGAGTAAAAGGCTGTAGTAAAAGACTATATAAAAATTATTCTGATGTTTTGTCATTTTATGTTAGTGTATGAAAAAGTATACACACACATATATACATGTATATACAGTATTTTTGACTTCACTCTTATCATTCAAGAGTGTAACAAGTTAAGTAAAAAAGAAGTTATTTTCTGGTGTGTCAGTAATTTTAACTGACCTTGCATTCAGTGAATAAGGTTGAGGTTATAATGTCATGGAGGTCCATACCTCTTGTCAAATAATAGCTGGATGTGGAATTGAGGATTAGACATCATCTTCCTTAAGATACTGGGGTTGTACCTGGAGGTCCTTTGAACAGTAAAAATGGGTATTTGTGCAATGAGGGGGATTTCTCATGTATTTTATAGATGCACGTCAAAATGATCTCTAAATGAGTAGGCTAGCATGAAGAAAATAGGGATACAGATCTTCATACTTTTAGAAGTATATTCTCCCCCAGGATATATGCATGTTACTATTCTTAATGTTAATGAAGGGTATCCAAGTGTACAGACTACATAGTGGACTTAAAATATTTCGTTCTGTCTCTAATATAGAACAAAACAGAACTGTGTCTTATGCAAAATATACTTGCAGAATTCAAGGTTTTCATAATGAAGCTTTTAATTTGAATATTCCCATCTCTTCCTCTACTTCAGTCTGTAAAGCACTTTAATTGTATATATTTTCTATTAAATTGTTTAATTATAGCTGGAAAACATGGAAACAAAAGGCACAGACAACATCCATGTTAGGCTTATGAAATGACAAAATGCCTGTGCTTGTTTTGCATTCATGAGGGGCAGTGCAACTGCTAACATATTGGTTAAAAAGTGTAAGACGTGGAAGCATAGAGTCAAAATGGTAAGTTAGACTTAAAACATTAAAGCAAATGTCAAAGATACTTCCATATGTGAAGCATTTTAATCTGTATAAATAAACCTCATAAGCATACATACAAAGGCAGTAAAACTTCTGATGGAAAAATAAAATGAGTACCTCTAAAGGGTGTTAAAATAGAATGAAGAACTGAAAATATAAAAGAAGGTCTAGTCTTACTATCCCTTTCAAAAATTGATTCCAGGTTGGTTAACAGCCTAACAAAAGAAATGCAGTATTTCCAAAGTTTTTTCTAAAACTGCATTTTGTGTCCAAAGGAAATTAATTTTCTTGATCAATAAGCCTGATGATGTCCTCATAGCATAGGTATTTAATAGTTTACCCATGTATAAGTAATATATTTATTAAAATGCTCTGATTGTGAATTTTTTTGTAATAAATTTAAAATTGAAAAAACATTTTTATATGGCATTGTCTAATAAACTGCATAATAAATTAACTGAGATTTAAAGGCATTTTTAGATTATTCGCTTAAGCATTTAAATTATAGTTACAGGCTAGATGACTTTCTATGCATGTGAACTCTATTATTCTGTCAGACTGACCAGTGGTCTTGACTGTGCAAAGGTCAGTGGTCACAGTTGTCCTGAATTACCAGTCCTTTTTTCATGTGGACCCTCTGCTGCGTTGCATGCTGTAATCTTCTTAATGGCTTCATTCCAATATTCACACATAATATTTTAGATTTATTGACTGTTAGAAATACTACCATGCCAGTAGCAGTTCCGCTACTCCTAAGGTATTTAAAATTGGAAAAATAAATCAGTGCAAGACTTTCAGGAATCCTTTGTTTTCTTAGAGAGGGGAAAAACCCTCTTTTTCCTCTCTTCTGACAAGAACACTTGTTTTTAAATTTCGTCATTTCACTGTGAATTTGTCTATTATTTTTTAATTAAAAAAATGAAAATAAGTTGCTACTTCTGTGGGAGAAAAATCCCTAATACAATAATACTTAGGTCATGACTTCAATAATGTAAGACAGTAGAACACTTGTGATGTATATAAATTAGTGGAGACCATAGACACAAATTTATAAACTTTGGGTCTGATCCTGCGATACCTGCTTGCAGTTAACTTTGGCAAAAAGACTACTCCTTTGCTCAAGTTTGAATGCTTTCAAAAAAGCTTGGAGAATTGAGTGTGTTGCTTATAGCAACCGAGTTTTACTGACTTCTCCATAGACTAAGCAGAATTTTTATAAATATGATCTTCAGAAAACAATGGGCTTTACAGGTTTTTAGCATCTTCTGTGGTTGTTTAATATTGTTAACCATAAAATCTACAGAGCTGTTGAAAGATGCATCACCTTTGTAGCATGTGGTGCCTACACACTATGATGCAATACAGAATCTAAACGGGTTTTTAGAGTTTTAGTTTTGAGATTTCTAAAGTCAGAGGATTTTAACACTGTAAATTGGATGTATGAACATTACCATTCTAAAAGTAGCATTTGAGAAGTAGGCTGTAATTCACGTGGAAAATCAAAGTTACTTTATAAAACAGTTACTGAGAGTGCAAATTATTTCTGAAAATGAAATGATTAGTAGTATTACAAAGAAGTTATGGTCAGCTTGTAACAGTGCAACTAAAAAGATTGTAAAAAAATTTAAATATCATAGCTTACTATGTTTTCCCATCAGAAAATAGCCAAAAATGTTACTAGTACATTTTGGAAACTGAGAGCAGTCATCAATGTTTGCAGTGTTACGAGGCAATTATTTATTTTGAATAAATTCTTAGAGTTGAGATTCTGTTGTACCTCGATACAGTTTTAGAAGCTAGAACGTGAGATTGAAAAGTGCAACTAATTTTGAAAACATTTGCATTTCAGTAGTTGTTTTAATCTAAATAAGTATTTGTGATTAAATGCTGGAGGGCTATCTGAGCTGCCTAAATCCTGTGTGTGTAGATAATATCAACTATGTAGAGTCCTTTCATTAATCATATTGAATTAAATCATACCAAATCCCATTTTGTTGTAAGGTTTTTGTTTCGTTTCTGTTCTCGGACATCTTCTCTCACTTACTTGCTGTTGAGAGTGGGCTTACTTTTACAGTGACGTGATCGAATGAGGAACACCAAGAAATAAAGTGTAAAAACTGTCACTGATACCAGAGAAATACCTGGATAATTTTTTTTCAGAGATCTGGTAGTCATTGAGAACCCCAGTGCATAGTTCTGCATTTCTGAAGCAACAAACGTTTTTGAATACTTCTACATGTGCTTAAATTTATATGCACACTTAAGTTTTTGCAGGAGTGAAAGCTTTGATTAATATTTACTTTATTTTATTAATTTATTTTTTAAATTTGTGTGCAGTTCTATTCTTCTACTGACATGGATATTGAAGAGATATTAGTCATGCTTTGTTTCCTAAAATATGACCATCTGATCAGCATCTTAGGACATAGGGTGACTATTTAAAAAAATTACCCTTTTTGTTTTAATGACCAACACAATATGTTTATACATTTTAGATACACTTAATTACATATGAAAGCAAAATCACATATCAATCTCATGACTTTCTAAATCTCTGAAAAACTATTCTATTTAAACCTTCCTGAAGCTATGATTGCTCTTCATTGCTAGTGTTTAGCAGTCCAATGAAGTCACCTCCCTATGAGAAGCTGTTGCTAGGAGGAGAGAAAAACACTTTGCTTCTAGTGTAAATTAATAATACCATTTCTGAAACGGATAACTAGTGTCTTCTAGAAATATGTTTTAACAGCATTCTAACCCCTGTGGTTTGTTTTCCTGCAGTTCTTTATTTTTAAACTTTGTAAAAGGCTATTTCTACTTAAGACATGCAAAGAAGGAGAGAAAAATGGTTTGGCTTTCTTAGTCATAGATAGGTAGAGAGATTAAAGCATATATAAGGAAAAGATTTTGATAAAGATGCTGCTTGATGTTTTTTTGGCTTGATGCCAGAACTGTGTATTTTCTTTAATATTTTAAGAGCTATTAATGATGTCACCCAAAGGGGTCTCACACTTCCTTGGTTTTAGGTTCATGGATCTGAGCAATCATGAGCAATCAGGGTTGTGGCTCACATTATCTCTGAAGGCTTTTTCTTAAGAGCGCTCTGCTCCTACTACTTCCGCAGAATAATCTCGTAGAGCTCTTCCTCCCTTTTAGCAGTGCCTCCTGAGAGAAGCATAAGTTGGAGGAACTTTCTTTGAACTCCAGCATAGCCTTTCTGAGGCTCAAACTCCCTCCAGAATGGCAGGATAAAAATGTGCATCTGACTTACATGGTTTTGTGCTGGAGAACCCGCCTCTAGACTGCCAGCCCGTTGGGGTGTTCTTAATATTGTTAAACTAATAACGTACCAATACTGCAGTGAGGTGGGAGATTTGTTGCTTTCTATTGTTCTTTTTAACATGTGTTTGCCTTAAAGCATCCTGTTTACCAACTTATGTTAGGATACATAGATCCTGCTAGAACTGGAAAAATCGGAAAATACTGTTTTCCTTCCCATCCCCACTTTGTTCTATAATTCCTCTCCTCTACATCATCTTTACCTCCTACCTTCTTTTACCTTGTTACTGTCTGTCATTGTTTCCCCAAACTTACAAGGTATAATTTAGAAGAATGTAGATTTAGAAGAATGTAGAGAGTTTTCTACCTTCTCCCTCCCTTATACTTAGAAGATGCTTTGTCCGTCATGACAGAGACAACATTTTAAGATTGACAATTCTTTTTTTTGACCTCGTGTTACCGCCTTTGTTTTACTGAAACTGAGTTAATGTTGATGGGCGGATGTCCTTTATACAAAGGATATATAAATTTATTTCCCCTGGAATTAAATAAACCTTACTTTTAATAACTTTAAAATAATTATACAGTACAGAACAAAAAAACCTGGAAATCAAGACATGCATTTATTTTTTCAACCTTGAACTGCTTAACTGGTTTTTGTACTCAGACTTGTACTTTTTTTTTCTTTTGAGGTGTAAGGAAAAAAACATAAACGAGCCTTAGTGTGTGCTTTCCATGGGCTAAATGAATAAGGCTCTAAACTTTTATCTAGATCTATGGAGCTTGGATATAAATTGAAAAGATCACAGCTATGGGGAAAAGACCTATACTGTAAAGGCCTTTCTGCATAGATTATGAACATCATAACTCAATAATTTTTTTTCAAAACTATAGTTATAATTGGACCCAATGGGGGTCTCTCTCTTTGATCAGATCACAGTAACTGTGACTTTACACTGGAAAATGTCACTACTGTGAAGGTTTATCACCTGTAGAGCTGGTCTTTTCTCTGATGCCATGTTCAGTTCTCATTAGCATTATTCAAAGTTTAGTTGTTAATTAGGTTGACACTTCAATTACAATCATCATCTACAAGAGCAGTCAGGACTGCTTGCATAAAGAAACAAAAAGATACTTGTTCTTGCATGTATTTCTAAAAGAACGAAAGCTGTTTTGGTGATAGTTTGTTTATAATGTTCTGTTTAAAGAGTAACTCTGAGTTTTACTTTGTATAATATTTAGCAACTTAAATATTGCTTTATTTGGTATATTGCAATACAAAGAGATGTAGAAATGTATTCTACATAATTGGAGTTGACTTACTTCTCCAGATGTCCCTCATGATCAAAATTAGGAGAGTATAGACTATAACTGGATATAATTCCATATATCTTTAAAGAATACTGTAATAACTCCAGAATTATGTATTTTCTCCAAAGTATCCTCAAGTAAAGGTAATCTAAGTTGAAATTTCTCTTTTTTTTTTTCTAATTTTGTATAATCAGTGATTGCTATTTGCCAAGTAAAAAAAGACAGACCTCCTTAAAAAAAAAGTCAAGAACTATACCAAGAATGATCATGGTTTGTTTGTTTGTTTTTGTTTTTTTTTTTTTAAAAAAAAGCTACAGGTGCCTCCTAAGTGGTGTTCTTATTTTTTTTGCTTTCACATGTTTATGTTCAAGGGCGATTTCAAAGGCAGTGTAGCATTGAATTTACACCAACTTTTCTCTAACTATTTGATAGTGGTAGCAGCTGCTCCCGTGGTGCATGAGAAATGATGTAAGATAGTAATTTGACTTTAAAAAAAGAAAAAAAGAAAAAAAAATCCCTAAAACTGAATAGTAAGTGACCATTAAGAGTCCTTAAAAATAAACCTTCATAGCATAAATAAAAAATATCCAACTCTTTTCATTCAAAACAAGTAGGTACATGTTATGATTGAGAAAAAAAATCTGCAGAAAAGTGGCTCACATGCATTTTACTGTAAAAATAATTAAGCTTATTTATGTCAAGAGGCCTTGGGAAAAAAAGAGAGCATAAACCAATTTGCATTAGCACTCTACCATCATCCCCTGCTTTCATTTCAATTAACAGACCAGCAGGTGCTTTTTGCAGTTAAAAAGATAAGCTATCAAGGAGGAGGATGAATTTTTGGCTGACCTGTAGACACCATGCTTTGCCTGCTGATTGGGTTCATACCTCGCTGTACCAATTTCTGAGGTGTTAATTTAACTGTTCCACACTGTCATGCAGGTCTCGGCCTTGAAAAATAAACTGAAAAAGCAGTCTACAGCTACGGGTGATGGAGTAGCCAAGGCCTTTCTCCGGGCACAGGCAGCACTGTTTGGATCCTACAGAGATGCACTAAGATACAAACCAGTAAGGCTTCTTTACTTCTTTTTTTCCTTAATTTATAAGATCATGGTCTCATTCTTTGCAAGGAAAACATGAAATGTTTTATCCCAGTCTGAAACATTTCAAAGAAAACGTTTTAAATCTTACTCTCTGCTAGGGATACATTGGCAATTTAGAAGACATTACCACCTCCTGACGGTGAGTTGTACTGAAAAATAAATACTAGTTCAAAGTCATCTATTTTCTTATTTGTATCACTTTTATAATTTATTTAGTAAAAATCAGATTGTATTAATGAATCTACTTAAACACAGCTCACCTGGTTTAATGTGGTGAAGAACTGAAGAGGCTGTGCCTTTCAGACTCCGTCATTTTTTACTATACCAGTCTAGAGACTTTGTTGTGTTTGAGGCCAGAAGCATTTTATTTCATAGCAGAAGCCAGCAATGAGTCAAACATGCATCTCTTCTATTATACACTTATCTTGGTTCCACTGAGAAGTTAGGAGAAATGAAAACCCATTTCATCCCATCAGAACTTCAGAATTTGTGTTTCTGACATTTTGCTGGTATTCAGTAGATTAATATGTTATGGGCTTTCATCCTTTTTGGTTTATGAGGGTGGCACATATTGAGCCTATTAGAAATAAAACCATTTACCAGAAACAACTTAGAGATACATTTCATCTGTCAGTCCAGATTCTTTTCCTATTATATTTGCAAACTACTGATAGTAGTTCTATTTGATAAAATGCATTGAGATGACATTGGCTGAATTAGATTCCAAGGATATGATGTTTGGTGGTCTGATGGGTTCAGTTAAATATTGAGATTTGATAGGAGAAAATCATCTTCGCTTGAGGTGTCAAGTTTTTAAAAACTGGTGGGTGTGTGGGTGGATGTTTATTTGGGGGTGAGAAGGGTCTGCATTCTGTTGTTGGGTAAGGAACTACGTGGTATTCCTTGGCAGAAATGGCTAGGGTGGTTATTAAATCCAGATGAGGCCTTTTCCTGGAGGAAACATCAAAATACAGTATGGCGCTCTCTTCCTTCTACCCAAGTAGTTCTTTTACAGGTAGTCTTTTTTGCCGTGAGTGTTTTACACTCTAGCTCTCTGTGCCACTGGTGGCCATTGTTACTGAAATGAAAAGTAAGCCATGCAGAAATGAAGTAATATTTAAGGGTTTAGTTCAAGTATTTGTGTTTAGCAGTCATTATCACTTTCTTTATGATATGGAAAGCCAGTTTGCATACTGTATTGAAATGACTGTACCTGTTTTCAAAATCGCTGGATTTCAACACAGTACTAGTTTCATTAAAACACATAATTTCAACAAAACAGATAGTTGTCATTTATTCCATAGTGGCATTACCTGACGTTGCTTCAGGAAGGGTTATCTAATTTGTCCCTTAGTCCAAAGGTGAGCACACTGGTCTGTGTCAGCTCATGGCAGCTTACAGTAAAAGCTGTTAAGTCAGAAAGTGTCTTAATCTACATTCTATATATGCAAACAGAATAATATCAGTCTGGTTGATGTCCTTACCTCTGTTCTGACCAGAAATAGGCTCCAGTATGTCCTTTGTTTTGGTAGGTTTGTTGAACTGAATGTGCAAGTTTGTTAGCATTCTGGTTAGCATCTCTGTTGAAATGAGCTTTCCTTTTAACTGATTTCCATTTTATTTCAGTTGATCTGTTGGCATCTCTGAGATACCTATATTTTCACTGTATTGGAAGTAGTGCACCATGCATCATTTCAACTGGCAAACATTTGTCAAAGTGACCTTTGCAGTCTTTCGTTCTGCATTATTTTCTTTTGCGTTTTTTTTTCTGTTTTGTTATTGGCTCCACTGATTGCATATAAGAGAAAATGTAATGAAACCATTGTGGCCTGATGGCTTGGGTTTTTTTTAAAGATACGTTATTTCAGAATATCTTAACAGGCAGAAGTCTGCTGGCAAACACTAGCATATCTTGGATTGGCATGAATTTGTCCAAAGACACAGCATATTTAAAAAAAAAAAAAAGGTGTGTTATTTTGAGCTGTATTCACATAGTTTTAACTAATTTGGTATTTTGCAGAATTTTTGTTCTGAGAGACAAATTTATTTGAAGTTGAATTTACTCTGGATTAATAGAAACTAAGAGGAGTTGTCCCATGATTGTTCAGCTGATTTTACATGCGCCTTTTGAACTCAGTTTAATGCATTGTGAATTGGGAAGTTCAAAAAAATCAAGTCATGTTTGACTGTATTAGAACTGTTTGTCAGAAGTCTCAAAACTTGTGAACTGTTATTGCAAAGAAAATACTACCCTTTGTTTTAGAGATCTAATAAGGAAATCCAAACCACAGCTATGGACTTTATTTGCATTGTAGGGGGTATACTTCAATGAGAATATTTTCTACATAGATTTGAAATACTTTTGCTATAAATAAGCTTGTCATATTTTCAAAATCTAGAACTGAGAGGTTTTGGGGTACCATTTTTAGGATTGCAAACATCCTGATGAAGAATAAAATAGTGTATTTGGATAGTTATCAATTGCTCTTAAGTTGAAAAATATGTTGAAGTGAACTGTTTTCCTTGCAACAGTGTGTTCTGTATGATTTTAACTTGAAACATGAAACGTCATTAATATTCACTTTGAGTAAAGAACAGCTTTAATAGTGTCTGTACTCATCCAACACTTCTCTTCACTCCAAACGCTGTTCGTCACTCTGAACACTCATTCTGTGCAACTGTTTGTTTTCAGCATAGGACAGATTCTCCTTGGTATAGCAATATGTCTTGAACAAGCGTCTAGCAATTATTGAAAAAATGATTGGTGAAAGGGAAAATGGGAAGCTTCAGGGGTCTTGAAAGGAGTTCATGGGACTCCGAAAGACCATATGGAAAATTTGAATACTCTAATGCAGACAGGAAATATGACCAGTAATAGATAAAGGTGATCATATTTTTTAGTGTAATAAATGATAATAAAAAACTTAATCCAGTAGAAGTTTCCAAGAAAAGTGGAAATAGTTGTTTTTTGTGATTTAATCACGATATTGAATTAAAGAAATAGGTCAAATTGATATAACTGCCAAAAGTATTTTTGTACTATGCTACACTTTACATTAGCAAATATTGCATAATAGGAGTGGATCTGTAGAGCAAAACAGTACAATTGGTGCTATACCCATGACTAGCTGGAACTCATTTTCTGCTTTAGTTTAATCCAGAAGGAATCCAGTTCATGCACGGTAGGTGGGGATGGTTGAAAAAATTGCTTCAGTGTTATTTGATAAATGACTGAAAAATAATCCAGAACAAAATATCATCAGTGGAATGATGAATTACAGTGTTTTTGTTTATGGTCTCATTCATGTAGAGGACTGCAATCCACTTCGAGTTGAGTGAGATGCTCTGACAGGGGAATGTGCGTGGACTTTGGGGAAGTATCCAGCAGTGGCAATGAGACCATTCAAACTGTTTTGCTCTAAGGAGCCCTGCAATATAGAAAGGCAAGTGGTCAGTGCATGAGTGGACTCACCCAGCTAGCAGCTGCAGCGTGAGCCATTGTGCCATCTGCAACGTCAGTGGTCACAAATATTTTTGATCACAAGAGTCTAACCCTGATGAGGCATTGCAGTGATTAGAGTGTTGCGAGTTAAATGCTTCTTACATCATGTAAATGCATATACAAATCCAAATTATGTTTGCTTTGGATGGTCTCAACTTAGCCTTGAACATTTCGTTGCTCCTATTTTCTTTAGGTGGCCCAGCATTTAGGAATCTATCCTGGAATAATACTGCACGTTCCATGTTTCAGAATTGTGTGCATAGGTGGAAGTTAGATACAAAGATTACAATTGTGCAGTTTGTGTCATTTTGTCAATCAGTGCATGTGCAATGTTGTGTTTTTCTAGCTATTTTACTTCATGGGTATTTTTTAGGCATCCTTCCTTATATCAGACAAGAGCCATGCCAATCAAACATTTTAACAACTCTGTAATGGCTAGGAGAAACGGGCCTTACTCATGTACTTGTGCAAAACTTGCAGATGAAAGTGAAGACTAGTAAATTTTTTCCGTTAATCATATACAATGTCGTCAGTAAATAAAACACTATATGATGTAAAGAATTCTTAAACAGGCAATATTCCCAATCTATGTCTTAAGAGGGAGAGGTAGATAGCAGAATGAGAAAGCAGCAGAAAAATAATGAGTATAAAAATATTCAGCATGATAGAGATTAATTTTAACATCATCAGGAAATAAGCAAAGCAGAAAAGTTGTTTCCTCCTAAGCAGCAAACATGAGGAGGAAATACAGGTGTGATTTTTTTTTTTTTAATTAAATTTTTTAAAAAAGCTAATTCATCATAGCAAGACAAATGCATTTCAAATGTATTTCAAATAAGCGAATCCTCTTAGTTCATGGCATATCTATTAAAAGATTATGGAATATAAGCAACAGTAACTTATTTTCTACCTTTGAAAGACTGGCTTTTCTTCAAGAACCAGCTAACAAAAGATGAAGTAATTGATAAAAATCTTTAGGGGAAGAAGTCCTCAAAGCTCTTGATGTTAAAACAAAAGAAATAAACCCAGGATAGCTTTGTTTTAAGTTATGATCATTGTAACATCACGCATCAGAAATTAAGAAATGAAGAGCAAAGGCTAATGGCCTGCTCTGGAATGCTCAGCAGTAGGAGTTCATGGTCTCATCAGCACGCCGGGGTGCCGAGATAACTTCCAGCTTGAAGATAGCACAACCTGTCAGACCTCACTTTAATTGAATGCTAACTGGAGTGCTTTGGGCCAATATTGACACTATTTTAAGTAGTGACATCAGCTCTCCAACAGATGAAGATACTGTATTCAGTATGCAGTAAATCAAGGTACAATTAAATGTTATATGAGGAAAAAAAGGTATTTTAAGATTCAGAATGCACCTGAGTTACTTGAGAATGCGTAAATAATGATTGCTTATAATTGAGTTTCAAAATGAAACCTCATGAAGAGAGATATCTCTTGAAATGGGCATTGGCTTGTTTACCTTTCCCCCGAGAGTTAGGCATAGAAAGTACAGCAGAGTACAGAAACAGAAAAAGAGTAATGAGATGGCAGAACATAGTTTGTGTTTCAATCCAGAACTGCCCTCTGTAATATATGTTATGACTGTTTATTGTAACTTCCATAAGAATTTTATTTTACATGTTGAAAACTATATTGTTTAAGGACTAAGGACTGTAGTAGTCCTTTAGTGAATATAGATATTGTATTAATAGGAGTTATTGTAGGGTTTAATTGTGACTATAAGAAATATCAGTACATCAGAATCTTTTTTTCTTTTGGGTAGATTGCAAGAAATTTGCAAATTTTGCAGAAATTTGTTTGTAATTTTAAATGTCATCTTCCTAAGTAGTATCATAGGTCATACTCAGTTATCCTCTGGCCTTTATCTCTGAATGTCATGACAGCAGATGACATTTCAGCTTTGTACTTCCTGGATTTTAAAGAGCGAAATTTTAATACCAAAACCAAAATTATGTTTAAAATTTTGTTGTTTTTAAAATAAATTATATAAAACTGAAGCAGCTATGGCCATACCTACCTACCTTGTACTCTTCATATAATAAGCGCGAACTACCGTGTGAAACTGTATTAATTCTAGCAGTAGTACAAATAGTTGGTATGAGTCATCTCATGCTAAAGCAATATGAATGTTTTCTGAAATAAACAATTAAAATGTTTGTACTTCTTGTTCAAGTTAAATATCACTAGATTTAGGAAACACAAACATACCTTCTAATCTAGATTATTTTTCCTTTTAAAATGATAGCGCTGTTTTAGCTCACTGTTTTCATGTTCCATTGCGGTCTGTATAAATAGCTTGCTTAAAATGTGAATGTAGCTTAGATTTCCTGCTGTGTGTGGCAAGCTATGAAAGGTGAAGAAAATTCTATAGCAACTGTTGTTAAAAGGATAGATATCTTGTTTGGGCATAGATTGTTTGGTCTGAGTATTAGCTGTCTACTTTTCAGTATAGAGTCCCCACTGGGTTTTGATCGAACTTGTTTTTAAAGTACATTGTAGATCAATACGGCAGGGGCCATTTGATGGTCTAGTAGTTAAGTATCAGTGGAACATTCCTCTGAAACTCAGTTTCTGAAGGTACCCAGTTGTATTTGCAGAAACTTGAATGTTATAAGCTTTACGTGTGAAAACTTCTAGAGCTATTTTTGTTTATATTGATTCAACAAATTATTTTTTAAATAGCACTTCAGAAGGATTTGCATTTACAGTAATAATCTTGAAGGTTTGTAAAAGTTTTATTTGGAAAACAATCTTGTTGTTCAGAGCCTTGAACAAGTAAAAGAGCTAGGAGTTAATTGTATTATTTAATGCAATTTGAGTAAAGTTACAGCAGATACCCTGAGAAAACTTCAGTGTGGAATTTCTGGAGGTTTCAACAGATTTTCTCATTTTCATGTGCTGAACAGGTAGGAACTTTAAACCTACTCAGATTTTTAAAGTAACCTTTCTCACAGTAGGTTCAAATAACATAGATGACTTGTGGATGTGAACTCTCTTTAGATCTATAAAAACTTTCAGCTAAAGAATAGCTTTGGTTATTCTGTCTCTGAACTGTACTGATAAGGGAACAGATGCACCAATGCATGAGTGCTTACTAGGTATCTGAAGCATCCAGCGATTAAAGGAAAGTATTTGGGAAAATATTACAGCCATGCACTAAAAATGTGTGTTGAACTACCATTTCCTGGTGTTCTGTTACATGGCTTGGGCAGAAGTGCCATCAAATAAAACCATCTGACTGGTCTCTCTTCCCAGGCTGATGTGAAAGGGAGAGCAAGCATGCCTGCTTTCTCTTCTGCTGGGAGATAACCTCTCTTTTTTTCTCTTTCATCTTTCCCAAAACAACTGGGGAGGTGGTAGTGGAGGCATAGCTTAGTTTTTATTTTTCTAAATAGTATGTTTTGAAAATACTATTTTCTCGCTTTTGTCCTAAATTTAATGTTTCATAGTATGTCATGAGCCATCACCTAGTCAGTTCTGCACTCCCACAAAGCCTCTGTATTTCTACAAATTATTTCTTTGTATAACAACCTCAACAGCAACAACAACAAAAAATATAAATAGGGAATTGTTATAATTTGCTGCCTTGAAGTTTTTCTGAAGAGCGACAGAACTGAGAAGAGAGTCTGCCCTCAGGAACACTATGTCTTATACCACCATGTCTCACTGGAGACTATTCTATTTGTTTTGATGCACTTTGATTTGCTAAGTAGCTTGGGGTCATCTTCTTAAGACAAGAGTCTTTAGGAGCTCGAGAATAGCTAATGCAAAGTGGGTCAGGAAGGCAGTGCTATTTAAAGTACCACAAATATTTCAAGCTATTTGGCAGATCCAGCATGTCCTGCATCGCTACAGTGTTGACCAGTTATCTTGGGATAAGTAGTAAGTGGAGTAAGTTAGGTGCTTCTCCTGGAGACTTGATTGACACAGTGCTACATATTGTACTGAAATGGGTTTGCATATCACAGCGTTCCAGCTACCATTTGAAAGGGGAAGGATTACGTTAGGTAAATTTTATAGCTTCTAGCTCTTCCAGTGAGATTTCTTTTCTAAAATCAGAGGTTCCATAAAGAAGTAAGGATGTAAAACTTAAAAACAAGTTAAACATGAACTTAAGTACTTCACTGAGTAGGACTGGACCTCTTAAAAGAGAGACTTAGGGAATAGGATTTTAAAATGACATCACAGTGATTTTTGCTGCAACATTTGCTTGGATCATGCTTGGACCATTTAAATTCAAAGTGCAAGGTGTAAAGAGCAGTTGAAAATTATTTAGAGCTACTCCACACAGTCACCTAGGTCACATGCAGAAAATGCTTTGTGATATTCTGGAAGTACATAACGGCAGAGTCAGCCAGAATGACAGGAAAATGTGTGAAGTAGTGTGTGTGGTTTAAAGTTAGAGTCAGGAGCGGAAAGCTGTGGCAATCACGGGCGTGAATTAATTTGTCCTGAAAGTGGCTAACAGTTGGAGCTATTGTGAAGATCCGTATAGCAGCTGTCTTTGATCTTTTTTGTTTTGAATGGCTGAGGTGTCTTTTATTATGTTGTGGGACTGCACTGTATATGTAGCTTTTGGGTAGTAAAATATTCTTTGGTAGGTTTAGCTGTGGCATTTTGTTGGATTCTAAATTTTCTGTCTTTGAGGCCCTTGGCTATTGTTTCTGACCTGGTAATTACTTTGGTTTTGTAAACTTGGGTGAGAGGCCTTTTGGCTTTACGATGAAATCAGTTCACGTACCTTGATCACTGCACAAACTTTGTAATGTGCCTATTATTTCTCCAGTTATGCCGAACAGCTTTGAGTATTTATCACAAAGTATTGACAAGAATAACAGAATTGGAGAGAATGCTCATCAGAAATGTCCAGTGGTCTGTGCACACTGAAGATAGCAAATTTTGAATGAAATTAGGAAATAACATAGAAGTCAATGTGACTGTTTATAAATAATCTTATTAGCACCTTTTATTTTTAAATGAATGCTGTTTTCATTAATAATTTTTTCAAAAACCACTTCATTTTCAATGAATACTTTTTTATCTTCTTTAATCATCAAAGTGTTTTGGTTCAGGGTTTTTCGTAACTATAGGCTATGCGCTTTTCCCAGGTTGGGGAAATACATTTTATTGTGTTAAATATTAATCTCATCTGTTTGGACTTTCTCCATAACAATGCTTCAAAAACTTTGTGGCTTTTGTTTTGTGTAAAAAATAAAATCGATGTATATTTCAATAATTTCCTCTTAAATCAACAGTATATTTATCAATGTCATGTTTTGGTAGAGTGAAAATAAAAATAATTTGGTGCAGATACATATTTTTGGACTGAATTAGAGTTTTGGTTTACTAGTATTGCTGGTTTAGCATGCCAGGGAATCAGAGTAATCCTGAACAATAATGCATGTTAAACTATTTGAAGCAGTGGACCTGCTCTTCCTCAAAGTTTGAATCACTTCCTTGAAATTTTTAATGAAGAGTGCTATAAAGGTAACATGAACCAAATGTAAACCACTTTACTTTTCCTTGCAATTCATATATTGTAGACTGACTTAATAAACCAGAAGTTCAATTGCAACATGTATTTTGAGACTATGTAAATATTGTATGAAGATTTTGGGCTTTTTTTGTTGTTGTTTGTCTTTTTAATTGGATGAATGTTTATCAAGATTGCTTGAAAAGGAATCATTTTATGTATTGACTTTTAAGAAATAAAATTGTAATGGAGAATTTTAAATAAATCAGCATATTTGTATACTGTAGTTACTAACTTTTTCTGTTCAAATTTTTTAGGGAGAGCCTGTAACTTTCTGTGAGAATAGTTTTGTGAAGCATCGTTCCAGTACTACTAAGCAGTTCCTGGAAACTGCTGTTAATCTTCAACTGTTTAAACAGGTATGAGAGGGTAAATGACCCATGTTTAATGATTTTCTTATTTTAAAATGCATTTTTCTTTCTGTCAGCTTATGAAACTCTTGGATAAATTTTAAGTACAAGTACTTTGCGTACTGACAGTCATCCCAGTTTTGTTGTTTTTTTAAATCTTTGGTTATAGTTAAAAAGAGTGGCGGGGAGGGGAGGAATCAACAAAATTGAATATCCCAGCTTGATGATTTAACTTCATTTTCAGCTCTCTTGGCTCACAACCAAAGAACCTAAGCAACATAGTGCTTACTTAAATTGGACTTTGGTGGCGTTTTATTTAAAAACTGAGTTCATGCTGTAATTGCAGTTTTCATTGCTAGGCTTTTTGAAGTGTGCACACAGAGATTGTTACAAACCGGAGCCATAGGGGTGATCTGAAGAATATTCTAGCTGATCTGTTAATGCAGATTTTGAACTAATAGAGAACAAATTGTTGAATGTGTGGCACAGCTCAGTAATAGTTTTATTACAGTCTTTGAAATGAATTTTTTCTTTGATTTTATTCTGTAACTCTTTTTTCTTCCTTTTCATCAGATGACCCCATTGCATCAAAAGGGTGTTAAGAAACTTATTACTAGATTTTTAGGAAAATCAAGGAAAATCTGAATGAAATCAGGAGACTCATAAAAGTATATATTTGCCTGCAAACATCTGGAATGATTGAGGCATGGGAGTTCATGTTTAAATAATCTGGTGGACTTCTTTAAAGATATACTACCGTGATAGATAAGGGAAATTCATCATATGTAGAATCTTCTAATTTTCAAAAAACATTTGGTGTTAATCAGAGGCTAGTGTCTAAAGTAAACATTTATGCAAAGATGATAGTTTGTAGAAGTCCTGTGAAAATATAAAAGTTAAGGAAATACTGATCATAGAATTGGGCTCCTTTAATTTTACTGTGGTTTATTTTTTACAAGAACAAAGTGTAAATAAAAATATAAAATAATAAAGAAGAAATCTGAAACCTTTTTAGTATCCAGCACATATGATTGAAATTGAAAGAAGTAACAGAGTAAACAGTGTTGTTTACATTTTGCATATCTCAGTGCGATAAGCTAGCATGAAACTTTCTTAGCAGAAAGCTGCCTACAAGCAATTTTTCTAAATTGTTGTCACACTACTAGCACTAAAGCAAGATCTTCAGCTGTAAGGAAAAGGTTTAACTCCACTGAAAGGAATGGGCATGTTAGTGTGGCTCTGTACTTAGCCATTACATTTTAACATGTGTTCAATTAAACAGAATCAGTTTACAGTTTGTTTATAGCTTGTTTTAATTTTATTTCAACTAAAGGAAATAATATATTTTAGACTATTAGGAAACAGTAACAATTTTGATGATGTGTGTGGTTTAATAGTAGTAGTAGTAGTAGGTTTTTTTCATTCCTCTAGTTTCTGCTGTGAAGGTTACTCGTACTTCTTCAGCTAATCTTCAGCCCTACTGCATCTTCTCCCATTTTTCCCACTGACAAATGAGCTGTTTTCAAAGTTTTTGTGTTCAAAAAGACTAAACGTATTTTATTCTGTTCTGGAAAATCTTTTAAGCAGAAAATAGTTCTTAGAAGCAGCCTTAAACCTAGACCAAGCAGAAGATAGGTACTTTAAATGCACCCTTTCTGCCCTAACTGACAAGTGAGTTTTACTTGTGCCACTTTATAAAATCCTTCCTCTGTCCTTTTTTCTTTGTAGGTTTTTAATCTTCTCCCCCTCTCTCCTGCATTAAAACATGTTAATTCCTATAATTGAACTGCTGTTTTAGTTTTGGAAGTTGTAGTATCTTTCCACTAAAGTACCAGGAAATCACTGTTGGAAGAAATCGTGAAACTGATTCTTTGTGTTACTCCCATGCAGTTTATTTTCATCTTCAACGTCATCTGGTTTTACTTTATATTGCCTTTTGATGTGCTTTCTATTAATGATATCCCTAAATGTATGGGCACATGCCAATCTTTTGTACCAAAATCATTAACTAACCTGTAAATAGGATCAGTCCCAACACTTACCCTTAAATACTGTGATGGGTGACCCTTCCAGCCTGACAATTTTCCTTTCATTACAAGCTGTTATCTCCTCTTTAGGCCAGTCCTCATCCGACCTAAAGTTCAGGTGCTCTGCTTTTATTTCATCTAAGGTAGTATTTTGAGGAACATGCAAGAAGCTTTTCTGTAGTACAGATGAATTGCATTTCCTTTACCTAGAAAATTACTTGTCAAAGAATCTGTGAGAACCAGTGTTTTGGTAACTCACGTTATATTTTTTTCTATTTACTCATTTACCATTTTTCCCCTCCTAAAATCTATTTGTAAGGCTCATCAAATTGTTAAGAGCAAACTGACAGACCAGCACTTATCACAACTTTTGCTTTTTAAGTAATGGTACTGTTATTCTTTGCTTCAGCTGTGTTTCCTTTACTTTGATAGATTCAGTTATTTTTTCTTTACTTCCAGATATGTGTGCTGGTTTCCTTAGAATCATGTAACAGGTGAATCTAGAGGTTTTTTTTGACTTGAGTTTTATTCCTCAGGTATTAGAATGTCCATTTCTGTATCTCATTTTCATTAACACTTGTATTTTTATTCCCTTATTCAGCATCGTAGTCTTTACTGAAAATTTAGACAGGATATTTTTGGTGAGGACCATGCCTCGGTTATCTTTTAACCTCAAACTGTTCTCTTGGACCTATAAATTATGGAGATGTCTTTTACATCAGGTTGATGACTTCACATTTTTGGAAAGGACTCTTTATATTGCTCTGAAACAGAATACACTGAACTGTTTATGCAAAACATACATTTTCCAGGAATTCACAGAAGTAATTTATGATAAATACCCTGATATGGGTCACAACTATAGGGATGTGTGAAGTTCAGTTTGCTGGCTTCAGTCTTCTAAAGCTGTCGTCTGCCCTGAATAGATTTAATTTTAAAAACCCTGGTTATCGCTATTCTTAAACTGTTAGGATATTTAATCATATAAAAAATATTTTTCCTAAAAAGAAGATAACCATTATTTAGATATTAAATATTCTTATTTCCTGGTTAAATATTCTGTGTATGACAGTTTTTCTTCAGATTAAATGTTTATTCTTCTGAACTGTATACTTATGTTACTTTTTTTTCTCACTGTTTTTTTTTTTCCCCCACAACTTCGATATTTATACTGTTATGTATGCTCTCTGTTTGTTAGCTTTTTCTGAGCCTTAGAAAGGCCCCGCTTTAATTAGGGTAACATAGAAGGTAACTAATCTCGGTGTCAAGCTGCAAACACGAGCAATTAATAGTTGCATCTTATATGTCAAATAGTTCTGATGAATGTCCAGGGAAAATATGAATTCATTCTTAGAACTAACATGAAGCCTAATGCTAGACTATCTCATTAAATAATGTAATTGTGTAAGTAATGTAATCTGCAACATTTATTGGGATTTGTTCCTAAAATGGTGGAAAGTGTTAACTAGAAAAATAAATAATGAATGCAGGATTAGAACTTGAAGAATCATAAGTCTTTGAAAATTACTAGTAATTTCAAATTTCATTTACAAGCTTTATGAGTTGAGCTGTCTCCTTGAAAGCTATTGAACTGTTATTGTGTGGAAATCACATTTATGATGTTTTCTTTGTTTCTACCAACTTTTTATTTTAATAACGGGTGAGTTGACTTGGAATTTTTACTCCTGCCTAAATAAGTGATTTGGTTTAG